AAAATCTTAAACTTCCCTGAGTTTTATAGGACTTCCTAATGTTTCTTCAATTTTTCTAACGATTATGAATCTCCTCTAAAGGTTTAACAATTCACTGAAGTTCTCTAAACTTCTTTAACATTTATGTGACTTCTCTAATGTTAACAGAACTGCTTTGAGGTTCTCTATTATTTTCTGAAATTCTCAAAACTTCTCTAAAATGTTTGCAGTTCTCATGAAGCTTGTTATACTGCGCTGAATTTAATTGAACCGTCCTAAAAAGGTTTAAGCTTCAGTGAACTTCTGCTTCAAATTTCCCTCCCCCTGACCTCCCCCTTAATTCCTCCTTCCTTACTAAACTTCTTTCAAATGGTCCAACATTTTGCTAATGTTCATAAAAATTCCTGAATTTCGTGGATTTCTATGAAGTCATCAAAATGTTTCTGAAGACCACTGTCCTTCTGTGAAGTTTTCAAAGTTTTTCTAAAATTATGGAACTTTTGTGCTCGCGCCAATTTTCATGGAATTATTACGAAATAATTAATATAGTTCTTTGATTTTCACAGAAATTCTAAAAAAACTTTTTCAATAGCCTAGACTTTCCTGGTGTTATTAAAACTGCCTAAACGATTACATATTTTTTTTAAGTTCTCTAGACTGCCCTGAATTTATCAGTATTTTAAGAACCCGCAACTTTACTAAAATTAATTGATTTGCCTTGAAGTTGCGACAATTTTCCTTAAGTATAATAACAATTATAAACGCTTCGCGGCACCGGTGGTGTAGTGATAAGCGTGATTACCTCTCACCCCAGCAGGCCTGGGTTCAATCCCAGTCGGAGCCGCCGGGATGTTCTGAGGCATAACATCTCTGATCACGCCTTCCTTCTGCAGGGAAGTAAAGCCGTTGGTCCCCGGTTGATGAGTTGATGGGTCTATAGGTAGGGTCCAGATGTGGGAGCTGCCTCCCTGGCGTCGGTAGCATTGGTGCTCAACACGGAAAACAAGATCGACGCAAAACAAATCAAGGAAAAAAATATATAAACGCTCACTACTTTTCCCTGAACTTATCTATGCTTACCTGTAGTTCATAATTCCCTGACGCTTCTGACGTTTTTAGATTATTCATATAATTCTGGAAATACGCCACAATTCTACGGAACTCCTTGTAAGTCGCTGCAAATTTGCTTAAGTTAATGGGATTATTCTGAAACTATCTGATCGTCCTCAAAGTACTCGGAACTTCACTGAATATCATGAAACTATCTAAAAATATCTAAATTTATTAGATGTCCTCTGGAATTCCTTAAAGTTTGCTAAAAGTTCTCGCATTTTTTTTACTAATGGAACTTTGTTGATGTTCTCTTGTCAACATAGGTAAATTTTCGCATTTTTTATAGTTCTTGAAAACTCATGATATAACATCCTTAAAATATTCTCACGTTTTTCGGATGTTCATATAATTTTTATAACGTTCCAGAAATTCCGGAAATACCCTGAGTTTCTCCTCGAAGCTTCTTTAAGGTTTCTACAATTTCCTTGAAATTATTTGAACTGCCCTTTGATTCTCTGATCTGTCTTGATGGTCTCGGAACTCCCCTTTTTCTTCTTCTTCATATTTCAAGCTTATTGCTTATCGCATATTAGCTTATTGGGTGCTCTCAACTTAGTGTTCTAGATGCACTTCCACAGTGCTTTATGCCTGTATCATTTTTGCATTAGTAGAATTGTGTGGTAAGTACAGTCATAACTCTATGCCCAGAGAAGTCGAGATATTTTCCAACCCGAAAAATTCCTAGATCAGACCGGGAATCGAACCCAGCCACCTCCAGCATGGTCTTGCTTTGTAGCTGCACCTTAACCGACTGAGCTGAGGGAGGCCCCATCGGAACTTCCCTAAAGCTCTCAATTCTATTGAAATTCTCTGAACTTCAGTGAAGTTCCTGAAATATTTTTGAAGTTTTCATAAATTCTCTGAAGGTTTCTGTACTGCCGGTAATCGCAAGTCAGTCCCATCTGCATTTTAATCAATTTTGAGTTAGCATCATTATTCAGTTTATCTTTCTATGTTTTTTTAGATGAGCTATTGAAAAAAGTCAAATTGTCCCACACCGAAAAATAACTGCAAGTCAGTCCCATTAGAAAAAAATATGTAAGAAATGTTAGACAACACATCGCATCATGAGATTTGTCTCAAGACAGATTTGTCCACTTCCCCTAGGGTATATGGAACATGTCCTGATATGGCCAATATAGTTCTTACGATACTCAGTTTGACAACCAATGGTTGACTTTGAATTCTCATTTGATTTGATGTATCGCTTGATGGATTTTGATTTAAAAAGGATTTACCACTTCCCCGGGGATACCCGGAACATGTCCAGGTTTGGCCAACATGGTGCTGGTCACTGATCATGACTCTTATCGATCTTATTTTTGAATGCTCATGTGAATTATGTGAATAATCAATTGATTTATCGCATGGTGGGTTTGGTACGTTTCTGAAAAGCTCTGGTCTGATAAAGACCCATACTCACCGGAATACGTTTCGGCCATAGCTTTGGAACCAGCAAAACAAATCCAGAAACATTCAATAAAGTTCTATGGGACCATGGTATCTTTCTACTGTTCAATACTGTGCTAAACTAATGCAGCATCGTCATGGAATTGTGACTGACTTGCGGTTATTTTTCTCATTGACGTTAAATGTAATCGCAAGTCAATCCCATTCAGATTTTGGCCATAAAATAAAAATTTCACGATATTTTTTTCAATATTTTATCGTAAACATAGATGCATTCTATCACATTGTACGTTTATTTTTAAATTTATCCCTCCAAAATAAGTGTCAAATCATAAAACTTGTAAAATCTTTGAACGCCGTTTTCTCATTTCCAGTTTTTTACAGATGGGACTGACTTGCGATTATGGGCAGTGTACTTCCCTGAAATTCTGGGAACATCTTAAGGGTTCTCGTTTTTTTTTTCAGCAGATCATGGAACTATCCTGAATTTTTCTTAATTTACGATTATAGATCTTTAAACTGCTCCAAAAGACTGAACTAAAGTTCCGGGAACTGCTCTTAAAATCTGAAATTTTCCAAAGATCTCTGGATCTAGCTTTTCTGAGGTGCTTAGAACTTCTTAAAAAATTTCACAATACCCCTCAAGTTTCCTATATTTCCCAAGTTCGCTGGACAACCATCAAGTTCTCTGAAATTCTACGAACTTCATAAAAGTTCCTGAAATTTTTCGGAGGCTAAAAGAACCGCTTTGAGAGTTTTAAAGCTTCCAGTAAGTTACCCATATTTTCAGCGTGTTAACTTCGCTTATGTTCCCGCAGTTTGTGTATGGAACTTCACTGAAATTCTCAGCATTTCCTTTCATTCCTCAGAGCTTCTCCAAAGTTCCTACAATTGTTGTGAAGTTAATGGACTGCAATGAAGATCTCTAATCTTTCATAATGTTGATAACGAACTTGAAATAAATCATTTTTTTCCTTAATTCTGACACTTTGAAAATTTTCAATATCTTGAACTTGTATATGGAATACGAAACTTCAAGCCATTGAATATTTTTAGATCTTGGACTTACTCAAATTATGTTTTTTTTTTCAAGTGTTAAACTTCAACATTCAATGGATTTTATTGTAAAGCTGTTTCTTTAAAACTGATTGCTTAAAAACTTAAAAACGTTTGGGTTAATATTGCTGTTATTTTTAATCTATCAGAAAAGCATATTTTTAACGCATTTAAAAAATATCTTTCTTATATTATTGTAGCCTGGAATTGTTCCGTTAAAGTTCTGGGAAAACCTGGAAAACTCAGGCAATTTTATTTAAAAGAAAAATGAGTAGAGACACCATGTAGATAGATAAAGACGATTAAAAATCACAAAGCAAAGCGTGATCAATCTTGAAATAAATTCACGCTAAAAAAGTTGAAAATAGTGACTGATTACAAGACAAAGTGACGTTAGTGACGATGCACGGTTTCCTTGCCCGGTAATTTTTTTTACAGTTTTCGAACTGTAAATCACAAAAACTACCGAACATTCAGCTGTTCTCAATTAAATTACAGACGTTCATTAGTTTTTGCAAGAACTGAATGCAGTAATATAGTAATTACTGAATTGACCGTAAAATAACAGTTGTACGGGAAATGACTGAAACTCAGTAAAATAGAACACCGAGTTTTCGGTACTGATTATGTTTTAGTGAAACAGCCATCAAACGAAATTCCAAAATTACACTTACACACTAGTAAATTGAACTCCTTTACGTCATTCTTCTCCGCTCCACCTTACGCACTTGACTTCAGAAATTAGTGTGTAAAAACAGCAACAATTTGTGAAAATTAGTTAAACGACTGGAAGTCAACGCAGGAGTGCAGAATCATTCACGCAATCGGCAGTTTCTGCACTCCTGCATCGACTTCCAGATGTTCCATTGAATGGGGGGCGACACATCTAAATTTCAATTCTAGTTGCTCAACGAATCTCACACTAGCGAATCAAACATCAAAAAATCTTCTTTGATTTCTCGCATCTACTTGCATCGCGCATCATTTTTTTGCAGGAAATCTTCAAAATTGTCATCCATCTTTTTCATATCTACTCAGCGTGCGCGCTGCTAACCACAACAAAACACAATTTTCCCTGCATCGTGGATAGAGTCGCCCCCCTCGGTAACACCATCCGAAGGCATTACTAACGCAAAAAAAAATCATAGCAACACTTGACAAATCATCAACAAGCCCCTCATCCTTGGACAGGGCTTTCAGAAAATCGTTAAATGTTGTAATATAATGTTAACTGTTTTATATCTGCATTTAATGCACGTTCAGGTTTTTGGCATTAAAACGGTTTAGATCGACTTCTTAATATTTAATTTTATGTAAGAAAATGTCAACCCCACTCACCTCATTGTAAGAAACTGTAAGAAATGTTGACACCCCCGCTATTCCCTTGCATAATTTGTGGACGACCCCTACAGAAACATAATCGACAAGAACTTGCTACTTACCTTCAATAAAATCTTGCAAAAGGACCGTTTGTTCCTCCGCAGAAATACACATCGTTTCGTGCCATCGCAACATCGCCTAAGTTGTAAAAAAGCAGCACCCAAAAACGTGACATGAAACGATAGAGAATAGACAACATGATTTATACATACATCGAAAGATTGAAAAACCAATCCGAGCAATCAATTTGCTTCCGTGCGAGGAAGACAAAAAGAATAACAATAAAAACAAAACCACTCACTATAGAAATCGAACTAAAAAGTTTGATTTTTCCCTGTGGAATCGCGTGCTTGAGGGCCGTTTCCAGTGCCTTTTTGAGCGCACCGTGATACGGCTGGCGGAATCCACAAACGAACACCATCCCCGCCAACAGAAGAATGCTTTCCGCTGCATCCGAGTTGGAAGATTCAAGATTCTCCAGCGAATTGATGACATTTGCCAGATGCTGCTGGTGGAGTGTTTCAGTTTGCGGATTTAGTTTGGCGAGCACTAGTAGTGCACGGTCCCGAACGATTTGGGCATCCTCGTAGGAAAAGGCAGCCACTTTCAGCAGAACGGTGTAGAGCATTTGTTCCATGTTCACACGATCGATTTCGTTGGCGAGCCCTTCGATTTCATTAGCAGTGAACACGCGATGGTAATCTGTAGTAAGCGCTTCACAGAAGCCCAGCAATTCTAGTTGATAGTTTTCTTTTAATTGATAGCACACGTCGGTGTCCGTAAGGAGACTGGTGATTTTCGTGAGATCCTTGAATCTATCCCAACCAGCGGACTGGTACATTGCATTGAGGCACTTCAGATGACCCAGAGTGGGGAATTTTTTAAATTCTGGTAGTGCATGTTTGCTCCATGTATCGTACTCTAATAGGATCCCACAGAGCTGAGCTACTTTCAGCGCTTCTGCCGCCACATCCTTGTCTGAATCCATGCACGTCTTGCATAGTACGGGATTCACCTCCATGAATAGCGTAGAAAAAGACTTCTCAGCATGAAGAATGACTAATTTCAAAAGCTTAGTGGCATGCAACCGAATGTCCTCTTTCCACTCTTCCATTTCATGAAGCACCAGATTCACAATTCTCATGCTACGTTGGACAATAGCCCTGCAAGGCAGTGTAGGACGTTCATATTCCTGCGGATAGTTTGCCGGAATTTTGTCAATCAGTTTAGTTTTGGAAAGTTCAGCTTCGTTTTCCTTGTAGTACAACTCGCCTGCTTCCCTCCAGCGAATAAGAATATCCTCACGAACCTCCACTGTGTCGTCTGTCAGACTGTAATATAAAGCAAAATAATTGTCACACCAACAAGAAACCATGACATGCAATTCATTACCAATTCAAAACCAATGGAAGTATGCGATAGAAGCACGAGTAGCGGTCCCGCAGCTTCAAAAGCATCAAGCATCCCACTCGACCACACGCCCTTCGAACGAAGGGAACGCCATCCATCAGCAAAGGTGAAATGTCCACAATAATTTGCACCGCTTTCTCCACGTTCGAGTGAATATTCAACGAAAGAACTCCCAACGCTTCAACGGCCGCAATCCTGTTGGCAGAATGCCGATGTTTAAGCACCCCACTAGTTGGCGTTACCAGCGCTTCCGCCCGATAGTGCATGCTCGGTGTACATTCGGCTAAAAGCTTCACCAGTTCACAACTTTGCTTCTGAGCAGCCGGATAAGGATCTTTCAATGTTTTCACCAGAATATCGATCAAATTATCATACGATTTCAACAGCGGATCCCCAGCGCTACCGTCCGGGTCTGCGTACTTCCGGATAATCGCTTCTAATTGTTCCAAAAGCTGCAACCTGATTTCCTCACTTTCCTCAATAATTTCCGCCTGGCCAATCCGACGGGCAATCACGGGAACAATGTACCCCAAATAGAAATCATTCGCCGGCAGTTTGTCCATCAGTTCCCCAATCAACGTTATAGCCAGATTGCGAATCATCTCGAAGCGATCGGCATAGCAGCGAAGAATGTGCAGGTAGGTTCCGTCGAATATTGCCGGCGCTTCCTCCGGGGTCAACTTTCGATTGGCATACTCCAGGAAATCCTTAAGCGCTCGCTGTCGGATCATACGCTCCTGATTTTGGACGTTCGCACAAAACGTTTCCACTAATGTTCTACAACCGTTTTCGGTCATTTTTATATGCCCACTTCCACGGATTTTTAAGAACCACTCGACCACTGAAAACACGGTGTTTATCACGGATCAACTTTACTACCAGTAACCTGTAACCATAGCAACTTTCGCATGTGATACCGGCATGCCAAGCACTTCACGTGTTTATGTTTATGTTTTCATTTTCATCCTGTGGGTGGCGAATCGGGTGAACGGGTGGAAAAGGGGTGGTTTTCTGAAATAAGTTTTTGTCGGAGTTGATCAAGGGGTGAGACAGTTTATTCTGAGTTGCTTTTTTGCAGCAAATAATACACTGAAACAAATCGACATGTATCGTTTATTGGGTCCATCTTATAACATAGCAATGTCAGCAGATTTATCCATTCTATGTGATGATTGATAGATTCCATCGGATTATCACTTAAAAACTATGACTGCGATATGGAATGATTTATATCGTAATTTCACATACTTAGTACTTGATAAAACTTTGCTTCGAACAGTGTTAGTGATAGGTAAGATGTATATGAATATTGTATGATATATTTCATGGTGAAAAACTGTTGATATGTCATGGGTAGGAACAGACATCTAGAAACTAATGGAAAATCATATAAGTTTGCACTATGAGAAAATTCAGTAAAATATACCTGTTTTCATGATGAATATTGCTCACTAAAAGATATATCTTATAAGATAATCATGTATATTTTATTGGAGTTGCTTTTAACGATTTTTGACGTTTGTTGATATGTCACGTGCAAACAGACACGTACACAGAAAATGAAAATGACCCAAAGCTTGAGTTTAAACAACCCAAAATTAAGTAAAACCTTTATAGTATCCCATTGCGTAAAAATCAATGTGTTATGATGGTTAATTTTAACTCAACGGTTGAGTAATACGTATATTACCTAGAGATGAGTAAAAAACATACGGAACTTTTGTGGTATAAGGATCCCTGCCTGGGGATTGTCATCAGATTTACGATGTAACATACTTGACGGTAAGAATGAGAATGAATTTATTCAATTTATTAAACTTATCCTAGGCTGTCGTTTTGGAGGCACTTGAAGTCTTATGTATTAATTAACCAATCACCAATCGATGGGTTATGGAGAAGGCATAAGTGGAAAAGAGAGTGAGAATTTGGGAGAGACCACACGGTCAGCATTCATACGCTGCCGGCGGGTTTGAAACAGCCATAGTATAATGACTCTGAAATATGATTCTTTTGTTTTGCAGTAAAACGTCCAATTGCGACATGCTAGTGCAATGGGTCGATGACTGACGAGGGTTATGGAAGAATTCGACTCTTCTCAGCATAAAGCTACAAGTGCGGCCTGCTAGCATTGTCTATGGGAAAAAGGGATTTGATGACATGTGGAATGCACATGTCACACCATCCTCCTATAGGGAAAAAATGATTGAATTTTATGAGATCATTTTTGACTTCAAATACCTCTCACAAAATATTACGGTTATCCTTGCTTTTTTTTTAAATCTTTATTTTTATATTATGTATTGCTCACCATCCCCTTTTGAGTGAGATGATTTTACGCGATGGCATTAGTTTCTATGTTTTCAATCTAAATATTGTATTTTAATGTATTGTTCAAATAGTGGAAATACATTTTTCATAATTTTAAGCTTTAATTAATCTGTTCTTATGCACTATTTTCTTTTCTTGATTAAGTAAATTTTTGATAGTAACATTTGGATGATTTTCTTCTATAACTTCAAACGGTCCTGAATATACTCTGTCTAACTTTTTTCTGTTTTCTAATTTCAAATAGACTTTATCGTGTAATTTAACATCTATAGGGTTTACGTTTTGAGAATTATTTTTTATTCTAGCCGCTTTGCTTCTTTCTAGCAATTCTTTTGCTTTCAGTGCTGTTACTTGGATTTTGTATTTTAATTCTGTTAAATATGAATCATGATTATATTGTGGATCTATGGATATGATATTTTCAATGGAGCTTGGCGTGTTAGCTACTCTGCCAAAAACTAATTCAAAGGGGCTAAAGTTATGGGCTGTATGTATGGTTGTATTATAACAGAAAGTGTAGTATTGCAACCAGGTGTCCCAGTCATCATGTTGATCGTTAATGAAATGTCTTAGATATTCATTAAGGACACGATGATTCCTTTCAAGACTACCAATGGTTTCGGGGTGATATGCTGTAGAGAATGTTTGATTGATTGAGAGAAATTCACAAATATTTTTGAACAGATCATTCTTATATTCTGTTCCGAGATCTGATTTTATAGTTATCGGGCAACCATATACCAGAATCAAATTTTCGACAAAAGCTTTCGCTAAAGTCTGTGCATTTTTATCTGGAATTGGTGCGATTATTATATATTTGGACAGATCGCATTGTATTGTTAATGCGTATCTGTTCCCAAGTTTAGATTTTGTTAGTGGACCGATGGTGTCAATTGAGACTAGCTCAAAACATTTGATCGGAGTAGTTGTTTCTATAAAATTTTCTTTCGTCTTAATTCGGTGTTTATTTTTTATGCACTTATCACATCGTTTTATATACTCTGTGATAGTACGTTTCATGTTTGTCCAGTAATATTTTGATCTTAGTCGTTGTAATAATCTATAAGTACCAATATGACCTCCCGTAGGTGTGTCATGGTTTTCAGAGATTATCCTTTGTATAGTTTCCTCATCATTAATCATTTGTGCTGGCACATAAAGTATAATTGTCGTATATTTTAACATTTCGTTGCATGCTTTTTTGAATGTTTCTCGAGGAATTAGGGTCAATATTTTATCATTCATTTTCATAGCTAGCGTTTTTAATTCCATTTTCTTGGCCATATTATCTATCGTCTGCAGACTTTTTTGCAATTCAGTGTTGCTACCGTTATAGAATATTTGCGCTTGCGCAATTATTCTTTTCTGGTTCTTTGTCAGAAGTCGTATATCTAACTTGTGGTTGTCAAAATCAAAAATAACTTTAGGCATATTAAAAGCATCTAAGTTATTGACTGATTCATATGCCCTGAGGTGATCAATCTCAGTGGCACGTGTGTCAGTATCTGTGTTGTCACTATTAGGATTTCTTTGCTGTCTTGTCATATTTCTTGTTTGAACTGATAAGCATGAGAGGTTTTTGAGCTCATCCGAATCAATAGTAATACGTGAAAGAGCATCAGCGCTGACATTTTCTTTGCCTTTCACGTATTCTATGTCAAATGTGTACTCTTCTAATTCCAATCTCATCCGTGTCAGTTTTGACGATGGATCTTTCATTGAAAATAAGTATACAAGTGGACGGTGGTCGGTTTTTACTGTAAACCGTCTACCGTATAAATATGGTCTAAAATAGGTTATCGCCCAATGAATCGCGGATAGTTCCTGTTCAATGGTCGATTTATTTTTCTCGCCTTTTGTAAAGCTTTTGCTTGCAAAGGCTATTGGTAATTCAATATTTCCATGCATTTGGGTAAGAACTGCGCCACTGGCTATTTTCGACGCATCTGTATATAGAATAAATTTCTTTTTAAAATCAGGAAATTTCAAAATAACTGGATGTAAGAGTTTTTGTTTCAGGGTTTCAAATGCCTTTTTACAATCTGCAGTCCATTCAAATTTGACCTTTTTCTTTAATAAGTTGTTTAGTGGAGCGGCGATATCTGAAAAATACGGTATGAATCTCCGATAGTAATTTGTGAACGCGACGAATCTTCTTACTTCGTCAGCATTTGTTGGTGTAGGAAATTTTAAAATTGTCGAGTATTTCGACTTATCTGGTTGAATTCCTTCGCAAGAGATATGATGTCCCAAATATGTAACATCAGGACGAAAAAAATTACATTTTCTAGGATTGAGTTTCAAATTATACTTTCGAAGTGCTTTTAAAACAGTTTCCAAATTTGATAAATGATGATCTATCGAACAACCAATGACGATAATATCATCAATATATAGAAAAGCGCATTCCGGAGGGAGACCACTTAGGGCTATGGTCATCATCCTCTGAAAGCTATTTGGAGAAATATTAAGGCCAAATGGTAGCCTACAAAATTCATAATGACCGGAATTGGTCGAAAATGCGGTATATTGTTTTGATTCATCTTCCAGTTCGATTTGATGAAATCCTGATGCTAGGTCTAGCGTAGTAAAGTACTTTGCTCTACCTAGTTGATCAAGAATGTCATCGATCCTTGGAAGAGGGAATTTGTCTGCTATAATTTTCTTGTTTAGTTGTCTGAAATCGACAACTAAACGCCATTTTTTCTCTTTGTTTATGGATTTCTTCGGAACGAGGAGTAATGGTGAATTATAAGGAGAAATTGAGTTCCGAATAATTCCATCATCTAGGAGTTTATTTACTTGTTCGTTTATTTCTTGTTTGTGTGCTTCCGGTAATCTATAATTTTTTATATAGACCGGGCATTCGTCATTAAGATTGATTTGTTGTTTGTAAAAGTTGTTATGCGTTAGCGTGTCTGTTTGTAACGCAAATATATCGTTATATTTTTCGCATAGTTGAGTCAGTTTTCGTTTTGTGTTTGGATCAATGTTAATGTCTTTTATATAAAGTTCTTCAAAAAGTTTTTCATTTCGTAATTCTTGTTTACTTTGATCAAATGTTAGAATGTCATATTCAGTTAACGGTGTAATCGTTGTTGGACAAGTATTTTTAATTTTTACTGTTTCATTTGAAGTGTTTATTATTTTAACAATTGAGTTGTTTTGGCTAATAATAGCGTTTGAACAAAAAACTCCTGGTTTTAGTTCAGTTGCGTCTAAAACGAATTCTTCCTTCAAATGCTGTGTGTCTAATTTTCTGAAGACCTCACATCGTGGAGGTAGAATTAAATCACCGTTTATAGTATCTTCGATTGTTAATTCAAAATTTTCTGACTGTTTAGAGTAACCAGTTAACATCCAAGTGTCATAATCAATTATGCACCTGTAGTTAACCAAAAAGTCTCGACCCAAGATACCATCTGTCGGTATAGGTATTTCTTGGGATACGATTTGGAATTTGTGTGGTATTTTATTTCCATTAGGTAAATTTATCAAAGTCGAAATTGTTCCTAAGGTTTCAATGGATTCCAGATTTATGCCTGTTATTTTACATTTCTCTTGAATGTTTACTAATTCAGTAATTTTTAAATTTC